TACACTCAATTTGCCAGCAAATTTGGAAAACTCAACAGTGGCCACAGGATTGGAAAAGGTCAGTTTACATTCCAATTCCAAAGAAAGGCAATGCCAAAGAATGTTCAAACTATCACACCATTGCACTCATTTCACATGCAAGTAAAGTTATGTTTAAAATTCTACAAGCTAGACTCCAGCAGTATGTGGATCGAGAACTTCCAGAAGTACAGGCAGGATTTCGAAGAGACAGAGGAACTAGAGATCAAATTGCCAACATATGCTGGATCGTGGAGAAAGCTAGGGAGTTCCAGAAAAATATCTACTTCTGCTTCATTGACTATGCTAAGGCCTTTGATTGTGTGGATCACAACAAATTGTGGCAAGTTCTTAAAGAGATGGGAGTACCAGACCATCTTATTTGACTCTTGAGAAACCTATATGCGGGTCAAGAAGTAACAGTGAGAACTGGACACGGAACCACTGATTGGTTCAAAATTGGGAAAGGAGTTCAGCAAGGCTGTATTCTGTTGCCCTGCCTATTTAACTTATATGCAGAGCACATCATGAGAAAGGCAGGGCTAGATGAATCAAAAGTTGGAATTAAGATTGCCGGGAGAAATATCAACAACCTAAGATATGCAGATGATACCACTCTAATGGCAGAAAGTGAAGAGGAACTAAACAGCTTCTTGATGTGGGTGAAGAAGGAGAGTGCAAAAGTTGGCTTGAAACTCAACATTAAGAAAACCAAGATCATGGCATCCAGCCCTCTCAATTCCTTGCAAATAGATGGGGAAGAAATGGAGGTAGTGACAGATTTTTTCTTCCTGGGCTCCAAGATCACCACAGATGGGGACTGCAATCAAGAAATTAAAAAACGCTTACCCCTGGGGAGGAAAGCTATGGCAAATTTAGACAGCATACTAAAAAGCAGAGACATCACCCTGCTAACAAAAGTATGTATAGTCAAGGCCATGGTTTTCCCAGTGCAATGTATGGCTGTGAAAGTTGGACCATAAGAAAGGCTGAACGCAAAAGAATTGAGGCCTTTGAACTATGGTGCTGGAAAAGACTCCTGCGAGTCGCCTGGACTGCAAGGTGATCAAACCGGTCAGTCCTAGAGGAGATCAACCCTGACTGCTCTTTAGAATGCCAGATTCTGAAGTTGAAACTCAAGTACTTTGGCCACCTAATGAGAAGGAAGGACTCACTGGAGAAGAGCCTAATGCTGGGAAAGATTGAGGGCAATAGAAGAATGGGATGACAGAGAATGAGGTGGCTGGATGGAGTCACTGAAACAGTAGGCGTGAGCTTAAATGAACTCCAGAAGATGGTAGAGGACAGGAAGGCCTGGAGGAATGTTGTCCATGGGGTCGTGATGGGTCAGACACGACTTCGCAACTAACAACGACATTGATTTTTAATACAATTCAACAATGCTTATTCAACAAATGTGTTGTCTGAGTTTATTATTCACTAGTACAAATTAAATTCCTAATCCCTAATTCATTTCTCCAACCATTGGTAAAATAAGTCCCAAGTTTGAAAATATTCTGTTTCTTCTTTTTCTTTCAACCTCAAAGTAAGTCTGTCCATTTCTGCACAGTCTAGTATTTTTAAAATTATTTCCTCCTCTGGTGGTATTTCTTCATTTTTCCAGGATTGTGCAAATGTAATTCTTGCCACTGTTATCATGTGCAAAATCAAATATACACTTTGTTTATCAAGTTTTTCTGGCATTATGCCTAATATAAAGAGTTCAGGTTTAAAATCTACATGTTTCCCCAACATCTTTTCTAGCCAAGTATATATTTTTGTCCAATATCTCTTTGTTTTAACACATGTCCAGCACATATGATAAAAAGTACCTGGTTTATGATTACATTTCCAACATTCCTGGTGGAGAAGTGACTGCATGAGCCTTCCCTTTCCCTTTTCCTGACCATTCTCATTTGCCTCAGTATGGGAAGAAGCCTGAATTCTTACACCATTCAAAGCTCCTATCTGAAAGCTTACCCTTGAGTCTTGTACCAAGCTATTTATGCACCTAATTTTGACTGTTCAGACGTCTGGACACATCTCTTGCCAATTGCTGAAATAGCACATGTTTCATGCCATTTCAAGTGGCAACTGAGCAAGATTTTAACCCAATGCCTGAATTACCAGCCCAAGAGCCCATGATCCTCTCTCTAAAAGAGTGGATTAATCAACTGAAAAACATGTGGCCCATTGTGTGAAACGCCTTGGCAGACGCTCGGCTTACAAAGGTCAAGCTGACAAAAGGTGAGTGGAACCTAAACCATTCCACATTGAGGACTCTTTATACCTATACACCCAGTTCCTACAGTCCTTGCAACTTTCAAAGAAGTTAGAACCAAACTATATAGGGCCCTTCCTTATAAAGAGAATTATTAACCCAGTCACAGTAGAATTAGAATTACCAAAATCATTAAGAAAAGTCTACCCGGTAATCCATTGCAGCCTCCTTAAACCTGAAGTGATTTTATCCTTAAGGCCAGCACCCCCTCCAGTCCCGCAGCCTATTATGGTGGAGAGAACAGCATTTCGAAATTAAAGCAATCCTAGACTCACGCAAACACTGGGGAGTCACCCAGTATCTAGTAACTTGGAAAAATCTCCCTGAGCTCAAGTTCAGCCTGAGCAGGTGTAAAAAAATAAACATGTGCAAGCCCCTAGATTAGTCAGACACTTTCATGACTGGTACCCTGATAAACCTAAATAGATTCTGAATCACTGTTTCTTTTCTCATCTTTTTTATTTTTTATCTTCTCCAGGTAGATCTGCCTTTCTTTTAAGGGGGCAGAATGTCAGGTCCCTTTGGAATGCTGCCATAAGGAAGGGGAGAGGGAGCATGCTTGGGTGTGGATTTAGGATCAGGCCAAAGCACCCATTAAGCAGTATGTAGCACAGTGATGGCGAACCTTTTAGAGACTGAGTGCCCAAACTGCAACCCAAAACCCACTTATTTATTGCTGGGTGCCAGGTGGGCATGGCCCACTGGGTGGGCGTGGCTGTGGTGGTCATGGCAGATTGGGTGGGTGTGGCCAAGGTGGGTGTGATCACCTCGATGTTGCTCATGGGGAGGGACGCCTGTGGGGGCCGGGCAGGGTTGGGGGAGATCCAGGGGGTCTCTGGCAGGTGGGGCGGTGGGCAGGAGGCTCGTCCTGTGGGTTGAGGTGAGGCAAGCAGGGCGGGGGTGCCATTGTCACATGGCAAGGTGACGCAGGGGCCGGAGCGGCTGCTGCCTGACACCATCAGCCCCTGCACACAGAGGCCAGCGAGCACATGGGTGCTGGGATGCATCCAGTCATGTGGGACCTCGGCGAGTTAGCAGGCGGCTAGTTGAAGAGGGACGGTTGCCCTCTCTGGGGCATGGCGTGCGTGCTCACAGAGAGGGCTCTGAGTGCCGTCTCTGGCACGCGTGCCATAGGTTCACCACACTGATGTAGCAGATACAGAGCATCAAGTAAGCAGAACCTCAACTTTTATTGCCAATGAATCCAACAGGTTCTCTGCCTCTCCTTGACATAATTAACCTACCTCAAAATATCTAGCAACTGGAGGACCTTAACATCAACACTCAGCTCTTCTTGAAGGCCAAAATAGGAAAATTCATTACCCAGAAAGGTAATGCTGCTGTGATTTTGGGCATACAGAAACAATAGAGCATGTTGTTCTCCAGTGCCTGTATTGAAGAGACACTCAAGCTAACCTCATTTCACCATCACTGTATAAATATCCAGGGTACATAGGACAATTTTATATTTCTCTGCATGTGACAACATACGTTGACAATCCTGGGCAGGACTTTATCATTTTTAAAAGATCTAATTAAGAAAAGCTTTTGGTAACAAATAACAGAGTAATTCAATCTTTATATCTTACTAATAGTTTAAAAATAATGGAATGTGCAGTACTGCTTAAAATCCATCAGATTGTTGTCTCAAATGAGCCTTAATGCATATTTAAATTGTTAATTAAGAGTGTTTTATATTGCAATAGATTTAGCCATATATTTTTGTTTTCTTGTATTTGTTTAATGTCCCCCCATGTTTCTTAGACTGTTGGTGTATGTCAGCTTTTTAAAATGTATTATTCTTTTTTAAATTATGTTAAGTTTTGTTTTAATATTTTCAGCTTTTTAAAACAATATTGTTTGTATTCCATCCTCCTTACGACCGTAAAGATTTGATTAGTATCTGCAATTTTCTTCTAAGATTGTATTATTTTTAGTAGCTCCTATTAAGGGAAGCTTTTGGTAACAAACAACAGAGTGATTCAGCCATTATAGCCTAATCATAGTTTAAAAATAATGAAATGAGGCACAGATGCACATTCCCTTCTCTCTCGTATGCTATGCAGCGGGCTTTCTTGTTCACTCAAATTTGCATCGTTTTCTAACTAATAATCATCAATGTTATTTTATGAACCAATGCTCAGTTGTACTCTTATTTGTTTTTGTGTCACTTTTCAATTGTTTAATCTCCTGATAGATTCTCAGAAAACAAGAGAAAGGTCTCATACAGCATTTTAATGCTAGATATGAATTGGAACTGCCTACTAAATTGCTGAGAAAACTCCAATCCCCTCTTGAAACCTTCCTGATCCAAAAGGTGATTGGACAACATCATCCTAAAAGGTTATTCCCATTTGTAGAGTTCCAGGATACCCAGAGTCCTCAGTTTCACAATGGCAAAGGGCCAATAGCAATGTGTTGCATGTTAAGTTCATGTCTATCTGCTTCCAAGTAAAAACCACGCTGAGTATGCCCAGCTTCATGTATCACAGCAACAACCTGTTACAAGCTTATGGCTGCCATTAAGGGCATGAGCTCATGACCCAATCTAGACTCTTCTTCCAGCATATAAGGATCCCATTGCCAGCCTCAAGATTATGCCTAATGCTATTATATTAAGAAGTGATACATGTCATTATCTTAATATGGATAATTTTAAAAAAAATTAAAACCCCAGAAAAATAGGTTAGCTTTCACTTACCTCATAGCGATGCCTATGTCGTTCTTCCACAAAAGCTTCATTACCATAAAGTTTCCCTAAAAAAAAAAAATCACAAACTTTTTAAAAATATTCTGCTACTAAGGATTAAACTAAAATTATTGCAGGATTCAAAGGAAAGGGGGGGGGGGATTTGGCCTTCCAGACTTGGAGAAATACTATCAGGCTATAGCACTAGTATGGGTAAGAGATTGGATATTATTAAAGAACAGGAGACTACTATGTTTGGAGGGCCATGACCTACAAATAGGATGGCATGCTATATTGTGGGATCATAAATATAAAATACATAAATATTTTCAAAGACACTATATTAGACAAGCTCTTATCGATGTATGGACAAAAATTTGGCAACCAATTTATACCCAAGTACCTAGTTGGATCTCACCGTTAGAAATATATGTACACCCAAAATTTACCCAATTAGATAAGATCATAAAATATAAAAATATTTTAGATGAAAGAGGGGAATTGAAATCCAGGAAAACCCTCCAGGATGAAAGGATAGAATTAGAATGGTGGGCATACCTGCAACTGCGGGCGAGATATTGGAAAGATAAAAAAGAGTTAGGCATTAAATTAGAACCAATAGAATTGGATAAAATAATATTGGGATCGGAGGATAAAATGATTAAAAATTATACCACTATTTGTTAGATCTGGCAATGTATGAGGAACAAGTAAAAGTGACTATGTTAAAATGGAGCAAGGATTTTGGTCTTAATTTTGATCTGCATATCTGGCAAGGACTATGGGAAAGAAACAAAAAGCTTACTTTGGCCACCTCTTACAAATAAAACCTCTATAAAATGTTCTATAATGGCATCTCCCACCCATAAGATTAGCTAAAATGTGTCCTAATGTCTCCTCTAAATGTTGGAAATGTAATCTGACAATTGGAACATACTATCATATGTGGTGGGAGTGCACGCGAGCTCGTGATTTTTGGAATAGGATCAAAGAATGGTTGGAAGAAATTAAATTAAAGCGAGCAGTAGAGCCAAAACCAGAACTTTTCCTATTAGGTATAACCATGCAAAAGTACGATAAAGGCGTTCTTTATTTAATATTACACATTCTAACGGCTTCCAGACTGGTCTTTGCTCAAAATTGGAGGAATAAGAGAGTTACAACGGAGGAAGAGATCCTGTATAAAATCCTTTCATGTGCTGAGATGGGCAGGCTTACAATGATTATGAAGGACAAGACAGAACTCGAATACTTCAAAATCTGGGACAAACTTTACCGTTGGTATGAATTAAGAAGAACTGCTTGGATCTCAAGTTAATGATAGGATTGAAATGTATATATAACTGTACATATAATTGTATATTTAATTGTATTACATAAAAGGATGAGGCTTATATAGAGGTTAAGAATGGTGTATTATCTTTTTGTACCACAAGAAACAAACTATTTGAAATACTTACTCTGGAATGTCACGCTTGTCCATTTTTGTTTTAATTGTATTACAAATAAAAAATTTTAAAAAAATATTCTGCTACTAACATCATTTAGTATCCTAACAATTTGCATCCTAACGATTTCTAATCAACTCTACAAGAGCTTGAGTACATAAACATTATTCAGCAATCCAATCTGGAAGATTCATATCCTTGAATTTGAGTTCTTTGGGTCCATTCCCTGCTCACCCTCCAGAGAGAAGGCATAGAACAACTTTGTCAAAGATAAGAAGATACCTCAATTACAAGTCATGAAATGAAGGGAGAAACATATACAGTATGTGAAAAAGGGATTCCTCAAGAGAGTCATGCTGAGGAAGATAGAACATCAATTCCAGCTCCACTATGTGGATAAAGAGAAAGACTTTTCAGGAAGTATTTTGAGGTAATAAAATACACATTCTTTATAAAGCAGTGAAGGACACACTGTACAGAATATATTCTATTACAGAATATATAGTGTAATAGTGCATTGTACTAGTTACTTCTTCCTGACCTAGTGCTAGTCCAGAAGGCAAATCAGATACTTTTATGCAATATTGATGCCTATTCTGTATCTGTGCTAAAATCACCATGTGAAAGTGGGTGGCCATATAAATTTGTTTAATAAATAAAATAAATCTTCTATATAATTAGTACCGTATAAGCTGGCGTATAAGACGACTTCCGGAAGTGCTAAACTCGGCGCCAAAGACGGGGGTCGTCTTATACGCCGAGTTGTCTTATACGTCGGAAATACTGGATATAAGACGGCGTTCTAGGAATGCGGCTCGGCGATAAAGACGGGGGTCGTCTTATACGCCAGGTCGCCTAATACGCCGGCATATACGGGTATACCCGTAATTTAGCTGCTCATATATAGGGAGCTGCAAATGTGATATGAATAGAAAGTCTGATGGAGAAAAAAAAAGAATGTTCTATAAATACTATTAGTCAGAGCAGAAAGTAGGAGTCAAGCTCAATAACCATTTCTTTCCACTTTTCACTCTCTTTCTAGTACATGGTAGACCCATCTATTAACTATTGCAAAATAGTTCATATCAATTGTATTTTTTGCACTTGGTATTTATTTCCCCAGCATAATAGCTATTATAGCAGTCATATAAGTTACGCAGAACAGTCCTTCCTCTCTAATTTTTTCTCAAGTTGACTTGAGCATTTGTTCAAACTCTGCTCTGGAAAAGCAATTTATTTTTTTGTTTATTTATAGAGCTGCCCAACTCTGCAGTGACCATGGGTAGCATACAAAAATTAAAAACACCACAACATATAAACCATGATTCCCTGGTTCAAACAATAACCCCCCAAATAAAGTCTCATTACAAGCAAAGCTCACCTAACTTCCTAGCCTTGTGTAAATTATATTGGTGCCCCAAGTTGAAGGCATGTAAGCTATTGATGCCATGATATAAAAGGACCATTCTGAGGAAACACCCTTGGCAAGCTTCATGCCATGGCAACCAGAATGTGAGTATAAGCAGTCTGGGCACCACCTACCAACCCAATTACAAGGTACAAGAATTAGGAAAGGTTTCTAAATCAGTCTTTTGAAAAGCTACAATCAGCCAATGAAACTAATCCTAAATTAGGTGAACCGATGAATCATCAGATAAAGATTGTTTATTTTATTTAGCATGCTGTGCAAATGTAATCCTTATAGATTCTAAATCACATATATGGCTTAATGACCCAGTTAATTATGGTTTCTTCAATAATCATTAAGAAGAATGTTAATAGGTTTGGCATTTGCCAAGTTCATAACTTGAATGATTCATGTTATATTTATTGAATTATAATGTTGGTAGATTTCTTTATGAAATCAGCTTTCATGTCAATGTAGCTTTGTTCAAGAACAGGAAATATTTGAACAAATATGTAATATAGCAACAATCATAAAGTACAAACTATGCTTGATTCCTAAAGGACCTAGAAAGTTTAGAGGAAAAATATAAACGAGGTCAGTTGAAAAATAAATTAGACTGTAATGTATTTTGGACCACTGGTCTATGTTGTTAAATCTAATTTTTATAATCCAGACATTTTTTTCTGACTCCTGCTTGGTTCAAACTGTGCAAAGTCCTCATTTTAAGGAGACAATAAAAACAGACAGTTCTAAAGAGGTTACAGACTAGCAAATAAATTTTATTCAATTCAAGTTCATGTTAAATGTAAATATGGAATAATTGGAGATATGGAACATGTTCTTCACAATGATTTTATTCATTTTCATGTTTATACAGCTATTTGTATCCTATCTAACCTAACGCTTCTGAACATCCTGAGCCTCTTATTCCAAAATGTTGGAATACATGTTAGAATGTATTTTGTATTGCAACAACTACAGAATTATTCAGCCAGTAAGATGCCAGTGTTTACTTTGCATCTATTGTTATACTCTATTGTTCCTTTTGTTTTGAGGAGAGTTTCATGTGACAGTTGAGAAATTGTTAAGCAGCAAGGCCCATGGTGACTATACAATGTACACTTCATTTGATCTGTATAGCTATGTAACCATCCTCTGCTACCAATCTGTATGGCTATATATTAATCCTCTGCTACAATTTTTATAGAATAAAACAGAATTTTCTTAACAGGTTATGGGTCCAGTGTGAGGGCGTATAAACCCAGAGATAAACCAGAGATAAACTCAGAGATGAACCCGGTATAAACCCAGTATAAGTCCAGATTAGAGAAGAAATATATTCAACACAGAACAGGGTAATTCAAGCTGATGAAGAACATCAAACATGAGGTGCAGGTTTTGTTTCCTTTAGTTCAAGCGCTCCAAGAAAAGGAGTCCTGGCTAGAAAATGCCAAAGAACATCGAACAATAGACTTAAGAAACCTTTATACATTTTCACTAATCGGAAGGCGAGATAAGGCGCCTCATCTAATACACATTCTATTTGCTCCAGGCCATCTCTATTCCTAACGTCTAACTGAGATATGCAGGATGTCTAACTCTTTGTTACTGTTATCAGTCCTCTAACCATCTAGAATTGATACAAGTGTTACATGTGCATATTCTCTATGAAGAAACATTCTTTGATCTTGCCAGACAGACTCCACAATTACAGGCATCCAAGTTTTCTTTCAAGTGCATGCAATAGCCTTACTTCATTTTAGCAGACAGCTCATCAGGTATGTTGAAATGTATAAATGAAGTTAGGCCAGAACATCCTTCAGATGAGTGGTTTACCAGAAGGTTATGAAATGCTTGTCACTGCACTTGATGCACGTCCAGATAATGAGCTAACTCTGGAATATGTTAAGGGAAAGCTTATGGATGAGTATAAGTGTAAAACAGAAAGCATTAATAGTGATGGTGCTTCTGTCACAGTGTCTTTTTCAAAGATGAAAAATAGGAATAAAAACAGTTACATGAAGCAAGAAACACATGAATGCTTTGTGTGCAAGAAAAGGAGTCATTTAAAAGCAGATTGCAGAATATGGAAAGTTAGAATGCAAAAACTACAAAAGGCCAAAAATGTGAAGGAAGAAACTGATTTTGCCTCAGATAATTAATATATTTTTCAATCCAAAAGTTGCATCTCTTCTTTGAAAGCATTCAGAGT